AAGTTATTCTGCAATTTTTCACCTGAATCAGGAGAAAACGATAAAAAAAATAATTTAACCAAAAATGGCTAGCTCAGTCGGTAGCTATCGACCTTGACAAAAACAATTCAAGTAAAACAATACTCTTAAGCTAACACTTAACCTCAATGCTAGCACACATCATCAACACTAAATATTACAATAGCTATGTCTTCAGAACGCCGGACAAAACGGACGCTAAGAATATGGTGTCCTCTCTTATTTCTCTCCTAGAAAGTTAACTAAAGTTTGCATAAAGTTTTTAAATAAGTATTTGATTTAAAACATCAACCAGAAGTCTGAGAATTATTTTTACGTATTATGCCTGTTCGGGTATACTACTTTAAATTGGATTCAGTAAACTAAGTCACTGTTCCGGGTCGTAGATCGGATTAGTGGACGTTCGGATAAGTTTTGAAATACTACTGTATGATGAATTCTATGAACTAAGTCACTGTTCAGTGAAGTGTATCGGTTTAGTGGAGGTTTGGATGAGATTTGAGGGAAAATGAGACAAAAACTGGTAGCTTTCAGCTCCCTTATAAAGAGCATTTTTTGCTTTTCAGCAGTTTTGGTGAAATCCTTTTTTCCCTTAACTAATGAAATTTTAAAAACTGGTGAACGGATGTCACGAATCTATTTTAAGAATTCTCTAGTATTTAAGCTAAGGGGTATAAAAAGAAATTTAAAAAAGAAATCTTGCTTCTTCAACTAAAAATTTCATGTTTCAGTTTAAATCAGAATATGAGGGGTGTCATTTCTGCCTCAACAGACTTCCCCTCTCTCAAAAATTTCTCGGCACCAGAAATAACAGCCAAAGTTCAAACTAATCATTTTTTGTGAGTTCTTCCTTTTTCTTTACTTCACTTTGCTCGCTTCTGGTAAAACCTTTTAATTTTCCTTCTTGGCGCTTGTAGTGAAGACAAATTCCTAGCTGTTATGGGACCAGCAGACCCGAGTGGATGTTGTGCCGTAAATGACAAATAGTCCTCTTTCACATTGTGGCTTATCAGACTTCCGTAAAGTTAGGTCTGTTTCTTACTGCGAGCAGAGGTCCTGGATGAAGAAGATTTAATTCTATCTTGATCGTTCGTTTGATCTGGCGTTGTTTCAGGGGGATGATTACTGATTTAGTGGGGTCTGATTCTGGAGTTGATCTGGTTGTGTTCAAAGGGCCTTGTTGCGGAGTGAAATCTGGTTCCAGCACTAAATCTTCCCGGAAGTAGATCAGATTGGTCTGGTACCGATGTTGAATTGGATCGGGCTGCGAATCTTTTGGTCTTTTTCGCCCGGTTGTTGTGTTTTTGGTCTTTTTCGCCCGGTTGTTGTGTTTTTTCTCTGAAGTTGGAGCTGATTTTGAACAAGAAGGTTGTTTAACTGGCGAAGAACTTGCCACCAGAGGTTGAATGATCCGCTTGAGTTAGATGATGATCATGTGAGATTCAAAATTGGAATGACTGCAGGCATCGTCCATACCAAGGTGCTAGTTTTGGTAACTTTGGACGCTATCTTCCGGTGTTGAACCTGACTCGGAGCTGGAGTTGTCTTCTTTGACATTGCTGAAATCATTGTGAGTTGTCTGAGAGCTGTGTACTTAGAGCTGGGTGGTTCATCTGGCGACAAGGAAGACACTGCTTTTTTCATCACCCACCGTCTTCTGGTGTGATGGATCCTTGATGACTTGAAACTTGGAAAGATTTCAACCGTATGGAATATCACTTTGTCCTAAATCCTTCCGGGACTTCGTAAAGCAGTTCGAAGGAGAAACGTTGACTATTTTATCTAGATAAAATGTTTACATTTTTTTCGGAGTTGCGACCTTGCTGTAAACTTCTACTGATATCGGGTTAGAAATAAGTAGCGACTCGATATAACTGTTGGGTCGAGAGATAGGAGGTTCGATTGTGTCTGTTCTGAACGGTAAAGTCCCTGAGTGCAGGCTTGTCCTGAGCGAAGCTGCTAGGAACTGATTCCGATCCGTCAAGGTACTTAGAGCTTGAACACCTTCCTCATGTGATAAATTTTTTCTCAGTCTTCCATTCGTTGGCAGCAGTCATTTGTATTAGAGTGTATAACAAATTGACGGATTGTTGAACTTGAAACTCTGGGGGACACCTTGGCTCTAGAAACTTTTTCTAGCCACCTTAATCCTTGGTCTGCTTCTCTCATCAGCTGTTGGACTAAAATTAACATAAATTAAAGTTTTTTGGTCGCCAGTGACCCTTCAGTATCTGGCTTCTTACCGAATTGTGATTCAAACGGACGCATTCCGTTTTCTGAAGTTTTTGGAGGAAATTTTTTGACAAAATACACCTTCTTTCATTCATTTAGATTTGCGAAACTGATCAAATACCTTGTTTTTTGAACGTGAATGCTAGTCCGCTCTTACATTTTTAGATAAATTGTATGTAAAATTGTAAACTTTTTGTTAAAATGTTAAATGCAAGCAAGGTAAATAAAAATTCATTGGCTCTAGTTGATTTGGTAATCATATCTGATGGATTTTTGGAGTACAGGTTGATAGCATCAAATATGAAAACCTGATTTTCCAAACTTTCCAATAGTTAACACCTTACAAAACCTTACTGCAGTTAGGTTAGGTCGACTGTGTTAATCATTGTTTTCTGAAACTCCTTCGGCATGTCTGCGATGCCATCAATATCGGTCTGAAAACGATACGTACTACAGATATCCCACACCACATATAATGCTAAAATTACAATGATTACCAACTAAATCACCAAGTAAATAAAGAATGATAGCGTATTTCAAATCTAGAGATGCAAACCCAAATTTTCTCGGAGTATCTGTATTGATTATTTGAGCTGCGACTTCCAACTGTTCTAGTAGATTTGGCGTTTGATTGTGATTTTTCTAGATCTGGTCGTTCATGGCTATGTTTATCAAACCATCTTTCTTGGCCGCTTTCACCACCTGAGATTCAAAATGGTCGCTGGTGCATTTGTTAAAGTTCACAATATGCCCTTCTTTGACGAGTTTCTTGAACTCAATGCACCCTTTTTCCTGAAAGGGGATCAGCATTTGACGTCCCGTATCTTGAATCGGTACTAATGGGCCTTTGATCGAAACTTTACCTAAAGAAATAGATAGCTCTCGATTGCACACCGGTCCTGATTGAGTAGTTTGCACTCCAGGGAACTTTGCAGATCGAAACCAAGAAAAAAATTGGTTTTATTCTCGGAGATTGAATATGGCAACCCAGGGACGATTCGTGTTCCATTAGGGTTCTGAATAGCTTGATTGTTCTCCAATTGTAATCTACATAATGAGTATCGATTGGATTTCTGAAATTGATAGTAAATTGACAAGGGCTCCAATCTTTGCCAGGATATTCTCCGTCTTTTATTATAAAAAATAGCCGGCCTGCCCGTGTCTACAGTGGCTTTTAAAATTGTTTCGTTGACTCTCAGAGTAATTCAAACACATTTGATTTTTCCTGTAGCTTTCTTGATATTTTCCAGCTCTTTGACTGAACATTTAGTTTTGGATGTAAAGGGTGGATTCACCCATTGTTGGAATATTTAATATCGAATATTTTGACACGCTATTTGTCATCATAAGATCACATTCGTCCTCTGATGTGGATTCGGAAACTTCGCCAACAGTTTTGACTTTACTTCTGGAATTATAACATCTGGAAAAATGGCCCTTTCAGTTACAGCTCTTACATGATACGTGTTTTACTGGACAGGATAGTTTGTGATTCGCAGAAAATCTTTTCCACAAAAATAACGGTTTGATTTCTCTTGGCTGGTTTTGGGTATGTCGGTTGTTGAATTTGCCCCTTGAATTTTGGGTCCGATTTGTTCTGCTTTGGATGTTGTTCTTTTTTTGAACCGACAGGCTTCGTTCTTGTTTTATCTTGAACGAAATTGAATCATGGTTTTGGCCTGAATTAAAACTTGAATTTGAAGGTTTTCAATGATCCAAATGTTTCTGAAGAGTAGTGGCCATGACGCAGCTTGCCTCTTGAAGCTGATACGAAGCTTTCCTCAGATGAACTTTCTCGTCGGATACAAAGGTCACGTTGGATGTCTTTAAACCTCTTTTCGGCAATGAAAATGTCACAAGCGAATTTCTTCTCATGATTTTCTGTTTAACCGCACTGGGCGGCTTGGCCCGGTTATCTTGGGAGATAAATTTTTCCGGACTTTCACGAGCTGATAAAAAGGTTTTGTACAGATTGTTTCTTGCAAAAATGTAGTTCAGAACGCAAGTTGAATAGGGTTTCTCGAAGATTAGTTAGCGGAAAATGGCTGATAGAGCAGAAACTTTTATAGAGCAGCAAACACAGCAGAGTTTCATGTGAAGAGCAAAATTTAGTAATTTATATCTGAGCGTTTGAAAAACATCAAATTTTTGATATGAGTACGAAATTTATATGGCATTTAAATGGTAGAGAAAAAATTCGAACAATTTCTATGAAGCAGTGAAAAAATCTTGAAATATGGTGTAACTGCGCATATATAATGGTTCAAAACGATACATTTTGATCCAACCTGGATTTTTTTGGCTGTGTTATTGTATTTCAAAGCATAACGAGACCATTTGTGTAATAAACAAGACGGTTTTGTGATTCATAAATCATAATGCAATACGAACAGATAATTATTTTAGTCAGTCTATACACGATCCTCTTTTTATTCTTTTTAATAATTTAATTTTCGAAAAGGTATTTTGTCTTTATTGATTGATATACAAAATACTTAATGAACAAAATATCGAAATCTGAAGCGTGATTTTATAAACAATTTAATGGTTTTTACTTGAATTTTTCAAAAATCTTTCCATTATTTCTAGTCCAGCTTTATCATTTCCTACATAATGAGCTCAGCGTTGTTTCTGTCTAGGATAAGATTGGTATTTATAATTCTATCAAACAATTTTTCGTGGTCCACCACACAAAAAAAAACAAAACAGGTGTTTGTGTGACAGTAATATATTCACGCTGTCTGTTGTATTCTACATTACACTCTCAAATACGTGCATAAAATCATCATCTAGCTGAGTAGCGATGTTTTTTGTTTGGATTATATTTTTTCGGCTATAAAAAGTAAAATCGGACTTGTTTTCTTTTTCTAATCATTCTTAAATTGTTCCGTGTTTGAAAGAAAAATTTGTTCACGTATTTGATTAAAAGCTAACAGCAGTCTTGCTATATTTGGTAAATTTTTTTCAATGGTAATTGCTCGTGATTGTATTCAATGGTAAGTCGTGATCGCTTTTTTACCGCCGAATATTTGTTAAAAAGTCTCCAAGAGGTGCTTTTCTTTGTTCAACTACACTACTAGCTCTCAATCAAAATGAAAGAAACTTCTCTCTAGATATCAAACCACAATAATAGATACCTCACCATTAGCTCACTTGTGAGTCTCATTATACTTGACAAAGTTTTTATCACGAACGTGGTAGAGTTACTACAACATTCTCTAACATTGGTAGTGCTCATTCTTTAGTCGACAAAGAGCGATGAATTGGCCATGTTACTCCATTTCGGCGACAACGTCATTTTTTATACCAACTTTGTTATTAACGATTTGTTTATAAACTAGCTTTAAAAAGTGATCAACGAGTATCCGGAAATGTTGCCACGCTTGAATCGTAGCCAGACCTCGGCAGCTTTATTTTTCAGCAATGCCGAAATGGCAAACGATCAGCAACAACCCGAACTTATCTTATACTCAAAAAAATACAGCAACTTGTATTTGAATAAAAAAAGTGGTAAGAATTCCAAAAATAGCATTCGCCGAAGATCTCCCGAATGGGCAGGCGAGGAAGGGGAGCTGGATAAGCGGTACGGGCGGCGGACTCCAGCTGAATTTGGTCATGTGGTAAAATTGACCAATGGGAAGCCGACTTCGAAACAGAGCGTTAACAGAAGATCCGGTTAGCTTTACCATTAAAAAACAAGCTGTCAAATTGATTTCCTGAAATTTTTACCCCTGCGATAAGGTCTTATTTTGGAAGGTTTTGAATTGTCTTTTTCGACCTTTTTCTAAATTTGCCGGCGGCGCAAAATAATTGGTCAAAAAGGGATTTTAAAAGTGAATTGGGAGAGCTCAAATAATCAATTCGGTGCACCTAAAAAAACGTCGTCAATTTTTTTCATACCTTTGAAAAATGTTGCTGGGTTGTTTCGTCAACAATTTTGCTTGATAATTAAAAAAATATTTGCTGCATTTTTTACAAAAAATAAGAACAACTAAACCAATTTATGACAAATTTATGTACCTACAAACGAGACAGTGTATTTATTTGAACGAAGCGCTCTTTTGAAACTCGAGAAAGTTTTTTGCAGGTCGCTATGGCAGCAGCGAACGAATCAACTCTGCCAACGTGCAAAAATCAGGCTGTGCTTTAAACTGGTGCACTAATTACCCTTTCTCATCTCTGCAAGATATGCATTCCCAGTCTGTAGCCAAACAGCAGTCGAACCTAGGTTTGAACCAGCGACCTCTAAGCCAACGCTCACATTTGAGCAGCGGACGTCGGAACCTTCCTAAAAAACTAAGTGCAGCGTCATCTATTGTGTCAAGTGCGTGTCTCCTTACGCCACAGTCGCTAGAAGAACACAAGCAAATTATGGAAGCTTTAGACGAACAGTTTGTGAGGGATGAACAAATGATTATTCAACAGGCTAGCAGTCAGCAACAGTGCACTGGAGGTCAACGGGGTGGGTCTTCAGGACGGTTCTACCCGGAAACTCCAAGGAGCGAATTGTCCTTGAAAAAAATCCTAGTGATGAAATGGCTTCAAGCTGTAGAACAGGCTCGAAGCTCAAACTCATTAGCTTCAGTGTCAACTGGATACTAGAAGAAATCTCATAAAAACTACTTGAAATGTCAAGTTGCTCTAGACTTGCAAAATCAATAAAGATCTCGAAATTTTCTCAAATACAAAATCAAATTAACAAAAAGCAAGAGGCCAAAATATGTCAACATAAACAAGATATTTTAGAGAAATTATTATTTATTTTTTTGTGCAGTAATTCAATGTGCCAAATATTGTTTTTTTTTAATTATCCAGACTTGATGATTTTAGACCTATAACCACATAATGTCCCAAACCACATAGTAGATCAAAGAAGAGTTGCGGAGGCCAACTTTCCGCAGAAAATTGACCTCCTCATTACTCAATATTGTGCGAAAGGTCTATTTTACACTACTTAAAGCTCCAATTGTTTTCTCAATCAAAACTTTCTTTTTTCTCAATATCATTTTTCTGAAGCCGCCGCAGGCATCATAATTAAAATATTCTCGCGGAACTCACGAATTTGTAACTCGCGACAGAATCTCGCGACAGAATTTGTAATTCAAAATTTTGTTTTCAGCTTGTTTTTTACTCTTACTTTTTATAATCGTACATGACTTATTCTGCACTGCGAGTCTACCGGTACTAAACTTTTTTCGCTTCAATGAATATTTGAAAATTATTCATCATTTTTCTTTAGTTTGTTCATTTCTTTTTTGCCAGACCTCAGTTTTTTCTATTAGTTCGTTGGCTTTGAACAATTCTACTTATTACGCTATTTTACCATTCTTGAGTTTTTGATTTTGATAATCCTACTTTCCGAAAGAAACTTTCATTTATATCTGAAAATTATTCTCTCATTTTAGATTTTCAAAATGTTTTTCAAGTTCAAAATTTCCTGATTCGCTTTTCATGCAACATTCAGCTTTTCCTTTGTTTTTTAATTGTTACACTTTCGTGAGAGCGCGGCTAATTAGTGAATTTGACCTAAAAAGTACCGCAAATAATCATCAGACTGGGCACCTGATATATCATGTAAAAGCCCTTTCAGTCGGGATTCGAACGACATTAAAAAAACTTCCGTGTCGAGAAGCACCTTTTTGAAGTTTTTGATTTTTGTCAAATTCGAGCTATTAAGGTGAGCTTCCAGGCTTACAATAGCGTATTTATGCTTGATTTAAACCGCGAAAACTTAGTTTCACTCAATTTAAGTGTTTTTTTTGGAATTTTTAGCGCAATTTGTGGAATCAAAAAATTTTCGATAAATCTGCTAAAAATTGAATTTTTTTTCACTGTTCTCAATTGTCCTATTTTACTTTGCTTAACGAATATCAGGGGCGGATCTAGGATTTTCTCGAGGGGGGGGGCGGATTTTCAAAAAATTTTTGAAAATTCGGACGATCTTTTTTTTATTTTAGGTCGATCAGATTGATTTTCCGAACTCTCCCAAAGCAGTAAAAGGACCCTGTTTTGGCCAAATTTTCTGCGCCGCAGGCATTTTTTTGAAAAAACAGGTCAAAAAAGCCGTTTTTGGGCACTTTTTGGAAAATTTTGACAAAAAAAAACGCGTTTTTTTGGCGCGCGCTCCCCCTCAAAATTAGTATATATTGGCGCCTTTAGAAAAATTTTAGGGTCGGTCGGCCAAAAATTGATTTCTTAAAAAGTACCAAAGGGGGGACCCTTTGGGTTGGCAGGGGTTCGAATCCCTGAGAGAGAGATTAAAAAATGTACAGAAACATGGCCTCAAAAGCTAACCAATGCTGTCAAAAGTTAACTCAAGCATCAGCATTGGTTTTGTTTTTCTTAGTTTTTCTCTACATTTTCAATACGCAATCACGTTCAGTAAGTATTAAAGCAACCATTCCTTGTATCCCAAAATCTTTTAATTGCAAATTAACTTAACACAAACTGCACTGATCATGCCCTCAAACGCCAAAAAAAATTTTAAACAGAAGCGAAGTTGCACTTCGCATAAACAAGCAAAAATATGATCCATAACGCTACTGTGAAAACTGAATGAGAAAAACTTTGAGTCTACAAAATTTCTCAAGTGACGCACCCTAATTTTGAGTCTACATAATTGCTTTGTAACGCAGTACCAGTCAAATTGGAAAAAAAATGAAATTTACCAACTAACATGCCTCAATTTATAGAGCGGACGCATTTAAACTAGTAAACCAAAATATTCATGAAAAACATCCGACCCTGCCCAGGTTCGAACCCTCTTATTTTGTTGCGGGTCTCCTTACCTCTACGCTACAGATCCATGATACCTTGAAGCTTAAGTGCTATTTGTAACATAATAGTCTGTGTATCCTTAGCATTGGCTGTACTTAATAGCTGTTTATTGATCCAGTTGAACTCTTTCAAAATGAACACATTTTGTCCGCAATAATTTTTGCGACTTAGATTGAAATTCACTACAATCTACAATTTTGAAAGGGTTAACTTGGTGGCAATTATTCTGTACTGCTCTCTGTTGATTGCCCCTTCTGTGTATTGCTTTTAGGCTGTCTTGTCAATACAATTTAATGATCTCCAATAGTAAACTTTTTCAAATGAATATACGTCTAATTACAGAAGGCTCTGAATAGTCGCGATATAATTTATCAGTCAAAGCGAAAGGATCTGAAATTTTTAAGCTTGATTGCAAGTCACCGAGGAGTCCGGAAAAAGGCTATTAACACAGGAAGGAGTCGCCGGAGGGTCTTCACTCGCAAGGGGTCTTTTTTCAGCGTTCGTATCTTATGTCGATTGCCGCAATAAAATAATTGTGCCACCGTCCATTATTTTGCATAAATTACTTATTTCCGGCCTAAGGGGGCGTTTTTTTTCAAGTGCTAATAGCTTCAGATCCACCCGCTGGAAAAGGTTCAATTTATAACACAAGATGTATCTTGCCATTACCTATCATCCATCCAATTTTCAGCTCCTTGCGCTCATTGGAGCCCAGAAATGACTTCTGGAGTTAGGATGGGTCTGTTTACTTTGGGCATAAACGGAAGTGGGGGTCCTAGGTGTCTGGGGTTCAAAACTTAAGCTTACCTCAACTAGGCTTACATTATACTAAAATTTGAACCCATTACCGCCGTTAGTTGTCGAGTTCTGATAGATGATTTGATCCAAGCATACGAAAAACGGGACCCCTCAGACCTTTGGGGGTCAAGTGATAACGGTCCCCGGAAGTGTAGACCATTAGTTTTCAGTCCCCATTTACACTTCCGGGGAACGTTATCACTTGCCCCCTAAAGGTCTGAGGGGTCCCGTTTTTGTATGCTTGAGTCAAATCATCTCTAGTATCGCGCCTCTGAATTTCATAATATTAGCTTCCTTTGTTCCGATTTGGGGGTGGGGTTGCTGATTTTGTCAAATTTTTTTTTCTGGCATAGGGGTGACAATTTCTGACGAACTTCATCTATTTTAAGCGTAACTCATTGTTTGCCTATCTACTTCTTTTATCGAATAACCACTTTAACTGCACGTATTTGAATTATGAGTTTTAATATTGTGTGCAAACCGACTTTACTTTAGGATGAAATATTCCGGTTACTCAAAAATTGTAGTATTTATTGAGGCCAGCTCTACCGCCCGCAAAGCCAAGCTCCATGATTTACCCCGAAAAAACAGTTATGCATTCCGCCGCAAGGCCTTACCCTTTTCCCTTTGTAATCAAACACACTATCGTTTCGGGAAGGCAGCGTTACATGACGTAACCGCTGCCTCCACCCTGCAAGATTTGCGCGAAAATGAATTAGAGCACCAGGGTGATTCGGTACGCCTCAAGCGAATCGCATCCTCGATACTTTACTTAACGTCGCTACGAACCCACGGTCGCGCCGTCAGTCGTGCTTGCAACGGTTGCCAAGTTCTCCGTCCGATCATGATCGACGACGGACCGATGAGGCACCTTAGTTTTAGCAACAAGAAAAATATGTGCCGGAAATTCACCCTCAACTTGGGCAGCAATCCGTTACCAACAGAGGACAGCCTCACCATAAATTTAATAACACACGAACCAATCACCCCTGAGTGTTCCCGCCCAAATTCCAATTGTTTTCTTGAGTGTATTCACTATTTGCTGACGGGTAAAACCCCATAAATTTACCCGCTTGCAAGCCGAGTTAACCGAGCAGCAACGGGAACAGTCATTTCGTTATCAATCTTTATTTTTGTCCCCCTTTCAATCCCGGGCAATCCCTTTTAAACCGGGAACTTGTTGAAACCGACCTAAATGTACTCGCCCAGCTGCTTCGGGTTCATTTTTACGAAGACCCCCCCAGATGCTTATACGTAGCGGGAAATAACCACGGTCGGGATGGCTCCGAAGCCATTTGTTTTTATTATCGTACCCAGACCGAGGGGGACCTCAACAGGGTGATGGACATTTGGCCCTTACTACATGAATGAGAACAAGAGCTGCTTAGACATACGTAGAATTTCATATTCTACATAGACACAATTTTGAGAGTGACGCGCTGTAGACACATTTTTGAGCTCTATCTGTTGTTTCACATTAATTACTTTTCATAGAAAATAAAAAGGCAACTGTCTTAAAGAAAAAAAGAACTTTTTCTGTTATGAGTAAAAGCATTCTTTGTTTGCACAGTATTTGATTTTCTTGAACGCAGCCAAGTACTTACGACGCAACCGTCTTTTTTCTAATTTGATCAAACTATTTTTTTAGATGCCGCTCAAAAAATCCAATTTGAGCGGCAAAATGCAGAGCATTTTCTAACAATTCGACGCGCAAAAACCTCTGCGTTTAGCACAACTTTAAACGTCGGCTCTTTTCAACATCTTCCATTTTTAATGTAAATTCTAAAACAATTATGGCGGAAAGCGTGACCTTTTGATGTTAATTATGAATGAGTAATTTGCTCAAAACAATTAGTTCATTCACTACGCATGTTTCATTACATTATGAAGACAAATGTAATGTTTCTCAACACCTGTAACACATTATGTAAGATAATCTGAAAACACCTGGCCTTGACCTAAATAATTATCTCAAGTGGAAATTTATCCAGAAAAAACAGTTATGCATTCCGCCGCAAGCCCTTATTCTTTTCCCTTTGTAATCAAACACACTATCGTTTCGGGAAGGCAGCGTTACATGACGTAACCGCTGCCTCCCCCCTGCAAGATTTGCACGAAATTCAATTAGAGCACCAGGGTGATTCGATACGTCTCAAGCGAATCGCATCCTCGATACTTTACTAAACGTCGCTACGAACCCACGGTCGCGCCGTCAGTCGTG